GAGGGGAGGCAGAGGCGAATTTAGGGGGCGCAAGGGTGTTCACCCGAACACCCTTCGCCGAAAAATTACACTGTATATATAAGGCAAAATCTGTTTTTTACCTTTATATATTAAGTTTTGAACACCCTTAACACAATCGAAAAGTGTAGTTTAGTGGTCAAGGGGTTCTAAATTTACATATCACTAATTTGTGTATAATTAAATATGTATACTGGATGCAATTAAGTGATAATTTCTCTAGTTGGGATAAACAAGTTTATAATATAACATAGTTAGGTAAAAATCGCTTGATGGTTGTAACTAGTTAAAATAGCACGGGTTAGCCAGTTTTCGAACCGGTCATTCAAAAATAGCCAGCGTTTGCAAAGTCATTGAAAAATAAATACGCGGAAAGTTCCAGCATAACATACTGGAAATTGGATCACCTGTGTGTGAACTTCCAGCATATTGTACTGGATCCGTATATTATACTGGAACTCCAGTATATTGCTGGAACTCCATTATAATATACTGGAGTTCCAGTATACTTAAGCCGGAACTCCAGTATATTATGCTGGAGTATTTTCTGAATTTTGAACAGTGTTTTCATTCAGATTTATCTTTACATGAAAAATGGCTAAATTTCGATTACTTTTGAAATTGTGGCTATTTTTGAATGACCACTTGTAAATCTGGCTATTTTTGAATTTCTTCCTCGTAACTAGGCATGTCTACTGGGCTGATCCGGAATAAGGGTTTAGCCCGTGGGCCTTTAGCCCTGACCCATATAAGTGGCTGGAATTGTGGTTGGACTTTTTTGGTTACTGGGGCTCTACAGAACTAATGACCCATCAAGCTAATAGGTAGGGCTGAGCTGATCTGGGTTTAGCTGGGGTCATGCTTTTTCTCTTTTTTGAATTTTCTCTAATTTTATAAACTCCAGCTATAATTAAAAAGTAAAGTGTGGTGGCCACCATTATTTAATTTGCTTCTTCAGGTTTCAATTATTGCATGTCTAGCTCTCCCTTGCAAAAAGGAGAAATAATTAGGTAAGGGTCAAAGAATTTATATCATGAATGGAATTTTTAAAAATTAGAAGTAACAAACGAAAAAGAATCAACTTTATACATATCCATATAATACTAGACCCACAAATAACAAATACTAGTATTTTCGTTATTCATGTCAATTTGAATCTTCAAATGATATTAACAAATCAAAAGAATCAATCTTAAAGCCACAAAAAATAAAAAAATAAAGAACTTTCTTCTTCATCTTTTCTACATATACTACAGCTATTGAGTTTTTAACAAATATGAATACCAGCCAAAACCCCTTTAGTAAACTCTACGAGATGAAAAAGTACAAAAAAAGTTGATGTGGGCACACTCAATGCAATAAGTACAACCATCCCTAAAGCCAAGCTTGGCCTTGTATTCATCAACAAATATTGCAATAATCCCATGGCTTCACAAATACTCGAATTATAATTCACATAAATGTTCTTCTCCCAATCCATCCATTCTGTTGGTGGCTCGTAATTCTTCTCTATCATCTTCATCTCTTGAATCCTTTTTCTAAGTATAATCATGTTTTCGTCCACATTTCCACCATTATAATAATTCTGATCATTGGCTTGATCTCGTTTCATTGCCAAAGTCATTGTTCTTGTACTTATTGATCTTTTTTGAGAAAATGGTTTGAATGGAAGTGATGGTATTGAAAGGACAGAAGTTGATGATGCCATTCTTCAAATTTTGTTGTGTCCTTTGAGAATGTGTTTTGTGATATTTATAGAAGATTATATTAGAAATGTAAGCACACTTTAATTAAATTTCAAGGGAAATGTCTTAGGAAATAAGGAATGAGGCAAAACCGTGTCAGCACACCGTAATTGTGCCTGTTTTATAAATAATTTTTAAGAGAAGAAGCAACTAGCAAATGAGCAAGTGGCATCAAATCACATCACACATTTAAGGATTTAGCGTGAAGTATGGATTGCGTGCTTAGAAAAGCATCAAAATCTCATGAGATTTAAGTTATAAGTAGTAATTTAACATGTGAAGCAATTTAATTAGTTATATCATTTTTATTAGATTATTAATTATTTTTACTGTATAAATTTATTCATAATTACATTACAGATAATGAGATTGTGTAAAAAAAATTATACTGTCGATGCATATTATAGAACATAAACTCAATCGCAAAATCCATGATCATCTTCTAAGTTCTAATGCTATACTTAATGATATTTTATTTGTTGCTGTTTCCTATACGAAAATTTAAATTAAATTATGTATTTTTTAACGTCACAAGTCACGCTAGAAGCTGATACTATCTTTAGTGCTCGTTTGCAGCTATATATGGGGAATAAGGGATAATTTTATCCCGAAATAAAATTTGAGATGAGTTTATTCTACGTTTAGTTGGGATAAAATTGCGATATAACTAATCCCGGGATTGTAGTGCTATTTTTATTCCTATGGGAGAGTGGGATAACAATCCTGGAATAATTAATTTTAGGATAATTTGTTTCCCGACCAAACACCCCTATACTTTATACCTTAACTAGTGTATTGGTCAAAATCTGATCGCCAGTCGACCTGACCAAGATCCCGTCCAAGCGACGAGATAGCGAAGGACGACATGGTTTGCTCCAAAACCCCGTACTCACAATGCTCGCCGTAACAAAGAACGGCACTCAGGGAACGACGAAAGCGGACGTCGTGTGAGTTGTATCGACCCATAGTGAGAATTCCATAACTATATATAGGGGAGGAGTCTCTCAATGAAAGGGGGGCTTTCCTTTGTAATCTTCTTAGAAAGAGGAGCCTTCCCATGGAAGACAAAAAACAGTGATCTTCATCGATTAACGAATGAAGAAATGTAAAATACCAATAAGATTGATCTATTCCTATTTCATTGTATGCATTATTCTCCGATCGTTTATAGATCTAGAGGTTATTAGGTTTGTCAAAGATTTACCTCTTCATTTTCTTTGGTTGATTTGTTCAAAAAAGTTTCAATATCTTTTGAGTCAAACAATGTGGCGCCGTCTGTGGGGGTTTCTTAGTGAACCTCCTAGTCTCCTCCAGATG